GGGCGGCGCAAGCGAGCGACTTTTGCCGCGGTGTTTGCGGCGCAGTGACATTCTGTTCTTTGCGCTCGCAAAAATTATGTGCTGACATATTCTTGCTGATGAACATATACATGCGTTGGATGTGCAGCCGAACTGCGCGCGCGTGCTCGTCGCTCACGTAGACGCGCTCCTATAACAGAGCTATCATAGACAGATGATCACCATGGCACTTCCCTACACTATGAGATGCACAGATGGCGCTTCTGGTTGGACGCTCATTAAATATCTCATAATCCAAGATTACCTTCAGAAGAAGGGTGCTCTAATAGGGAGTCGCACGCAGTGAGTTATTATAATTGGCGGCCGAGGGCGCAATCAATGGCGCAACCGACCAGAGACGGTTTTATTCTCGGCCGCGAGGGCTCAATGGATGACGCCACCTATCGGAGACGGCTTTATGTTCGGCGGCCGATGGCGCAACCTATTGCGCAACCGATAGGCGTCGGTTTTATTCTCGGCCGCCGTGGGCGCGACCTATGGCGCAACCGATAGGAGACGGTTTTATTCTCAGCCGCCGAGGGCGCAACCTATGGTGCAAACAGTAGGAGACGATGTTATTCTCGGCGGCCGAGGGCGCAACTTACCAGTAGGATACGGTTTTATTCTCCGCCGCCGAGGGCGCAACCTATGGCGCAACCGGTAGGAGGCGTCTGTATTGTCGGCGGCCGGCGGTACAACTTATGGCGCAACGACTCGGAGACGGTATTATTCTCGGCGGCCGATGGCGCAACAGATGGCGCAACCTACAGGAAACGGTTCAACCGAGGGCGCAGTCTATGGCGCAGCCAACCGGATAGGACACAGTTTGATTTTTCGCCGCAAAGGGCGCAACCTTTGGCTCAACTGGTATGAGACGGTTTTATTCTCGGCCGCCGAGGGCACAACCTATGGCGCAACCGATAAGCGACGGTTTTATTCTCAGCCGCCGAGGGCGCAACCCATGGTGCAGCCGACAGGAGACGATTTGATTTTCGGCGGCCGAGGGCGCAACCAATGTCTGGGACGCCGTCAACGCGCTCACCGTGCTGGGGGCATCCGAGCAGTACGAGGACGAAGCGTGGGCATCCAAATGCGTGCGGGGCTACGCCCGATTTGTGCTCGCCGTCTGGGCTCGCGGTAGGGCCCAAGCGGCGAGCTGTTTTTTGACTTCGTACAAACGCACAGGAGGCCCATTGGTGTGGAGGGGAAGGAAGGGAGGCGGAGGGCGGTGGATGGGGGGGGCGCGAGGGCGGCGCGCGCCCGAGCACGACGCCGCGAACATCCGATAACAAAGGGGTCACAGGGCCTCGCGAAGGGACTCGTTCCCCCCCCTTTGTGGTCGCACCCCGGCGGGCGTGGCGTGCATGGTCGGTGCTGCCGCCTTCCGCCCAGTCACTCACTCACTCAGCCATGGCGGTAGATCGTCGTCGTGCAGCCACGTGTCCTGCCCCTCCCCCTCGGCTGCGGGCCCGAGGTGGGGGGGGGGGGTTCATTAAGGAAAAGGTGAAAAGAGAAAAACGGGTAGAGCAAAGTGGTAAGCACCGAGCCGCGCCACACCTCGGATCCCCCACCTCCGCCCCGCGGGCGTGTGGTGGTTCGTCGTCGTCGTGGTCCGTCTCCGTCTTCCGTCGGCGTCGTCGTCGTCGGCGTCGTCCCCACCCCCATCCCACTTGGGGGTGGGGTGGGGCGGTGGAACCTTGGGGCCCGTCCCATTTCGGGGGGGCCATGTGAACACTCTATAAGGAATCTAATATACCCCTCTTGGGGCCACTGTTGGGCCGTCGTTGGGATATCTTGGGCTGTCTTTCGACTGTGTTGGGCCGTCTTGGGTCCATCTCGGGGTTTCTGTTTGTCTTGGGGGTGATCTTGGGAGCCTGCTGGCCCGTCTTGCGCTTTAGAGGCCCGAAAGAGGCTAGGACTGAAACATCAACACACAATACCGGAACATCAGTGATGCTTGCTTCTTAGGATCCAAGTTGGGGTCTTCCTGGAGCCCTCTTGGGGAGTATTGAAGGTTCTTGAGCTGCCTTTTGGGGCCGTCTCGAGGCATCTTGAGCCAATTCGGAGGCCACTTGAACTATCTTGGGATAACCTGAAGGCGATCTTGGCCGACTCGAACAGGATGTTAGCCCGTCAATCCAATGTGTCTCGGGGTCCAGCCACAAGAGGCGCGGTATGCCGAACGGCCGTCGGGAACCTGCTGGGAGTGCCAGAAATAACAAAACGTATACAGTATTGCATTTGGGATACCTCCAGAGTTTATCTGGCGAGCGGTCTCGAGTCCCGGGTCAGGCGCACTCTTCTGAGGATTCTAATTGGATGCCCAAGGTATCCATCGGTTGTTGAAAGCAGGTGCTCCTGGGTTCCAGATTCCGATCTACTTTTAGCGCCTTGATTCTTCAATATTCGAGTGTTCTTTTTATCTTCCTCAGGGGGCAGGCGGAGATCAAATATACTTCCAAAGCCTTCCTACTTCATGCTTCAGCCCATTTCATCCGACCGATGGGCAATCATATCTGAAAGGGCGCGTCTCACTACCAGGGGGGCCCCAGCTTCAAGCTACCCCCCCTCCTTTGGAAAAGAGGGTGGGGGGGCTTCCGAAGCTCCCCCCCCCTTTTGTGGGCATGTATTAGTTTTGGGGGGGCCCTAGCTAAAGGGGGGCTTGGAAGCTACCCCACCCCCCTTTTTTCGGGTCCTGGGGTCAGCCCAGGCTTCCCTTTCAAAGGAGGGGGAGGTACTTCCGAAGCAATCCTCCCTTCCTTTTGTTTGGATTTCGTAGCTGGGGGCCTCCCTGGCTAAAGGGGGGGGCTTGGAAGCTACCCCCCCTCCTTGTCGGGGCCCGGGGTAAGCCCAGGCTCTTCGTTCCAAAGGGGGGGAGGCTTCCAAAGATATCCCCCCTCCCCTTCTTCTGTTGTTGGCGTTTCCAGCTGGAGGGCCCTGGCTGAAGGGGGGGGCTTCGAATCTGCTTTCCTTATTTGGCTTTCGGTGCCCCGTTGGTCTTCGGCGTACTTGTGGTTTTCGGCGCTTCTTTGGTTTTCGGCGCCTCTTTGGTTTTCGGCGCCCCGTTGGGCTTCGGCGCCCCTTGAGTTTTCGGCGCTTCGTAGGTTTTCGGCGCCCTTTTGGTTTTCGGCGCACCTGTGGTTTTCGGTGCTCCTCTGGTTTTTGACGTTCCTTTTGATTGTCTGCACCATTTTGGTTTCTCCTCGTCAAGCGGCCTGACCAGTACAGGCCGTAGTTTGGCATCGCTTGGTATCTCTTGGAAGCGATTGTGGTCAAAAGCGAGGCAGGTTTGTTTGCCCCCTCAACAGTGCACTGCGTAGCCTGCACCCACGCAGTTGGCAAAACGCAGACTTTCACCACGCAGTCTGCGCCACGCAGACGGCACCACACAGCTTGCACCACGTAGCTTGCACCACATAGCTGACGCATCTGCAGTGCAACAGTGTACTGTTTGGGATCCACGCTGGCTGACATTGTTTGGGGTTCGGGCCCAGGGACGTGGATGCTGGCTGGGGAGGATCATTGTAAGATGCTGGTGACAAAGGAGGGCATTGACGCAATAGAACGCCCCCTTCTGCTCCTGCTCCTCCCCAGATCCCCCCCCCCAAACTCAGAAGAGCTCCCTGGAACGACCCTACCGCGCCCTATGGGCCTCCATATTATGAGAACCGTCCTCCCTCCTGTCTCCCTCCCTCCTTCATCTCTGAGGCTGGAAGGCCACCCCACCCTCCTCCGTCCTCCGTAGGGAACCCTCCAGGGCCTCCCTCGTCCCTCTCCCTCTCCCCCCCCTTCCCCCCTTCCCTTCTCTCCATCTCAGATGCTCGAAGTCTACGCCTTCACTCTCGTTCCACCTCCTGCCCCCCGTTCCTCCTCCTTAGACCTCCTACTAGACCTCCTGGACCCCTCCCCTGCACCAGGCCGGCTTTCCATCCTGGGCCACCTGTTTTTGACGTCCCCAGGTCCCGGAAATGGTCCCTGGACGACGAATACGGCACATGGCATTTGGCTCGTTTTTTTTCCTGTCGCTGGCGAGTACTGGGCGCGGCGATGACCAGGATAAGTCGTTTTATAGCTTTGCGGAACGCTGTCAGAGCTTCCCGGAGTTCCTTTTTAGAACAGTTCGCGCTCGACACATCTTCCAGAATTCGCCGATCACAGAGATACCCGGTGAGTCCCGGTCCGATGCTGTCGCGGTCTTGGTTTCGTCGTAGGACACATGAGGAGAGTGGAGGGGTAGGAGGAGGAGGAGGAGGAGGTTTTAGGGGCAGGGGGAGGAGAATCGGGTAAGGATGGTGGAGAAGAGTTGGGAGGAGAATGAGAAGGAGGAGGAGGAGGAGAAGGGTAGGAAGGACGGAGGAAATAGTGACAGGGCATAGGGAAACGGGGAAGGCAGGGAGGGAGGAGCGGGATGGGGGATGAAGTATCAGAGACCAGGAGTGGGGGAAGGAAACTTGGGAGGATATCGTTGGAGCGGGAGGGAGGAAATACGACGAGGATCAGGATGAGGGTTCTTAAGGAAAGACGACGAGGTCGTGACGACGAGGAACAGTCATGATGAGTAAGATCAAGAAAACGACACGATGATCAAACGCATGGGAAGGATAAGGAGCAAGATGATCGAACGGCACGGGGGAGTTGAGAGAAAGAGGAGGAGGACGACAGTAGAGACTGAGGGGAAGAAGGTGGAAATGAGGTGGAAAGCAGACATGGATGGAGGATGACCAACAGCAGCACGAATGATGCACAAATCTGGAGAGGAGCAGGAGGGGATGGCGTTAGCGGCGGGAAGAGGAGGAGGAGGAGGAGGAGGAGAAGGATGATGATGATGATGATGATGATGATGAGGAGGAGGAGGAGGAGGAGGAGGGGATGGAGGAGGTTGCGCAGCGGGTAAGGAGATGACAATGTAGGTGAGGCGTATGCCTCTCGCGACTCACATTCAGCCTTCTGCAATGGTTGGCTTTCCTTCGTTGCCCAAGCAGGACTTCTTCCCCAAGGGCCACAACCAGCGAGAAATTGCGAGGATGATGGACATGTTTGTGAGCACAGAGCCGGACTCGACGTGTTTTTCTTTGCGCGTCGGGGCGTCGATGACATGGATTGAGCGGTTGACACGGCGTTGTCCGTTTGGAGTTGACGTCTGCACACAGGCCCCTCTTGGTGCAGCATATTGCCGCGCGCACAAATTCGCGAAGCACGTCGCAAAAGGGTCGCTCGAAGACGTGGATGCATCTGTCGGCATATGGTAGGTGGGGGGGTGCCAGGTGTTGTTTGTCGCCTTCGGTGTTCGCGTTCCCAGGGTCGCGTGGTCTCGCCAGTGGCTCTCCCCTGGGCGCGTAGCGCCCTCGGGGACCTCTCTTAAGGTTTAAGTCGGGCCTGTCCCTCTACAGGGGGAATCTGCAAAATAGTCAAACATAGTATGGGGACAATTGTTTTGAATATGTTTGAACATTTTGGGGTATGTTTGGGGTATGTTTCTTTTTACATCGAAAATACCCCTGTAGGGGGACACGCCCGACTTAACTTTAGGTATGGAACTTGGAACAGATGGCGTGAGGGATTTCGGAGACGAGCAGCGGTACGTTATATGGAAAGCGCACGATGACATGCAGTTGGTTGTTCGCCCCGACTCTTGTTGTCTGCCACGTGTCCTGACGACGAAAGTCACCGTGCGTGATTCGAGCTTTACCCGCACGAGCTCCTAATCGTGTGATGCGTCCCTCTCTCCCTGTCTTCGGCCTACTCACCTCGATGCGTCCTCGCTAGCGCGCGTGCTCACTGGCCGCGACGATTCTCGCCGGCCCCGCCGGTGACGTGAAGATGAACGAGATACAGACGTTGCCGTCGTCATTGCTGTCCCTTCCCGCCTGCACATCCTTACGGCTCCCCTATCTGTCAAATGGTATCGCTCCGAGTTGGGCCTCTCAATCTCTCCGCCGAGTTCCCTGCGCGTGTGCGAGGCGGCGCTGGGAGGGACGATGGATAGGCCGCGTGGGAGATGTGCCCCTCCCGTTCTCCTGCCGTCTCCATCCTCATGCTCGTTCCTCCTTGGCCCCCCCCGTCGTCCCACCTCTTTGTGCTCCACCTCCCCTCTCCTCTCCCTCTCCTTGCGCCTCCGCCTCCTCATTCTATGTTTCCTCATCCCCACCCCGTGTCCTCCGCCCTCTGTCCTCCAAAGGTCATCGTTGCCCCTCGTTCCTGCTGCTCATCCTCCTCCGCATCTGCCTTCTCTCTTCTCGACCTCCGTTTCATTCTCCCCCTCCTTTTGTTGCGTTCCCTCCTCACGGGAGTGGGAATGGAGGTGAGGTGAGAGGCGATGGATGATGCTTGAAGTAGGGGTGAGGGAGGCAGAAGGGATGCTGGACGGGGAAGGCAGAACAGGACGAGAGAGGAGACCTCAGAGAAAGGGCGGAGAGGGGCAGGAGGAGGGGGGAGGAAAGATGCCAGATGCGAGAGGAGGAGGAAGAGAAGGAGGAGGAGGAGGAGGAGGAGCAGGAGCAGGAGGAGGAGAAAGACAAGGACGAGGACAAGGGCGAGGAGGAGGAGGAGGAGGAGGAGGAGGAGGAGGAGGAGGACGAGGAGGGGGAGGGGGCGGAGGAGAGCAGGCCGTTGCCGCTCCCGCTCCGGGCGCCGCGTCGCCCCGGCACCGCGCCGCGTGGGCGGCGCAGGCCTGCGGGGCGGCCCCTCGCCGAGGCGCCCGAGCGGCCTCCGCGGAGCGGGGTGTGCGGCCGCGGCCGCACGGGAGCGGCCCGCCCCCTGCGGAGAGGGCGCGGCCCTGGCCGTGCAGCGGGCGGCAGCGCCCCGGCTGGGTTTCAGTCGGGCGTGCCCCCCCCCTATAGGGGGAGCTTCGAAGAAAAATTTGAAAATACCCCAACAATGCCCCCAAAAAGGAAAAAAAACAAAACAGTGTAGTCCCCAGACGTTTTTTTGGCTCATTTTGGGTGTATTTTTTTTGTTTCGTCGAAAATTCCCCTTTAGGGGGACAGGCCCGACTTAAGGCTGGGTGTCGGCCGGCAGTGGGAGGCGACGGTGAGCCGAGCACCCGGCTCACAGAACAACGGACTGAACATGGATGTTCAAAGCTCCGATCAGATGTTGTGGATCGGCGCCGGGCCCCCCTCTGGCAGCACCACCGGCGGCGCCCCTGGCGCGCTCCGCCCGCCAGCAGGGAGGCGGGTCCAGCTTCGATGAAAGAAGTCTGCGCGGAGCTCCGAAAGCCTATGTTTGCGCAGTTCGTTTGTTCAATATGAGCACGGTGCGAGCGATCCTCTGAAAGTGTTTGTTCATGCATCCTTGAAATCTCAGCTGATCGGCAAGTGGCGGGGCGATACTCTACGGGGCGCCGCGAGTGGTATGACATTCCGCAGGCTGTGGGGTGGGCATTGGCTGATGGGAGCCAGGCTCGGTATATACAAACAGGCTGTGGGGAGGATGGGGGCGCCTTTTACTCACCCTCCCTCCTCTTCCTGTTGTCGATTGCGGCGACATGGTGGACCCCGTCACGACTCGGTCCTTGGGGCACTGCCCAGGTTGAGGGAGGGGATGAGAGAGAGAGAGAGAGAGAGTGTTTGAAAATCAGTAGCTGAAATGAAGGTGTGGTGGAAACGGGGAGGAGGGGGCAGAGAGCCAGGGTTCAGAAAAGAGTGAGGCGGTGACGGGCAGGGGTGGAGGGAAATCATAAGCGATCGAGGAGGAGAAGAGGGGCGGGGGAGGGGGGAGGATGCGGAGGAGAGGCGAGGGGAGAGGAGGGCATGAACGGTGGATGGAGCACGGAGATAAGGGGGGAGGAACATGAGCAGGAGGAGGACGGATGCAGGAGGGGTTCGCCCCCTGCCGCCGGCCCCCTCTCTCGGATCATGGGCTATGCAAGAGCTAACTCATGAGGCCTCGGCGCCGCCGTGAAGCAGCATCGGCAAGAGAAATTGAGATTCTGATGATATTGTTGAACTCAGTGTTGCATTTTGAACCTGCCTCCGTATGCTGTACACTGAGGTTTCCCACAGAATTTCGGACATGTGGCAATTCCCATTGATTTTTCGACCCTGACCCTGCTGATTTGCATGAGGGGCGCCGCCGAATTTCAGAAATGTGGCAAATCCAATAGGTTTTTCGACCCTGACTCCGCCGATCTGCGTCAGGTGTGCCGCCGAATTTCAAAAATGTTGCAAATCCCATGGGTTTTCGACCCTGACTCCGCCGATCTGCGTCAGGTGTGCCGCTGGATTTCAGAAATCCCATTTGTTTTTCGACCCTGACTCCGCCGATCCGCGTCAGGGGTGCCGCCGAATTTCAGACATGTGGTAAATCCCATTAGTTTTTCGACCCTGACTCCGCCGATCGCCGCCGAATATTGGACATGTTGCAAATTCCATTGGTTTTTCGACCTGACCCCGCCGATCTGCGTCAGGGGTACCGCCGAATTTCAGAAATGTGGCAAATCCCATTGGTGTTTCGACCCTGGCCCCGCCGATCTGCGTGAGGTGCCGCCGAATTTTAGATATGTGGCAAGTCCCATTGGTTTTTCAACCCTGGCACCGCCGGATTGTAGAAATGTTGCAAATCCCATGGGTGTTTCGACCCTGACTCCGCCGATCTGCGCGAGGGGTGCCACCGAATTTCAGAAATGTGGCAACTATGAGTTTGGGGAACCTGACCCCGCCGATCTGCGTGAGGGGGTTAATTTCACCCCTCTCAGAAATTCTGATAACCCTCGCAGGACGCACTAGGTTTGCCAGTTTTCGGCTCCCCCCCCTCGCGCGGTCTACATCAAAGAGCAGTAAGCAGTAATAACCAAAACTGTAACAGTGGAAACTGGAAAATGGAACTGGCGCAGGGAGCAGCCAACCCTGAGCCTACAGCCTGGTGGCCCCACAAGGAGGCAGGCGGATTCTCGGCCATCCTGGAGCATTTTGTTTTGAATATCTTTGTCTTTTCCTCCAAAACCCCCCAGTAGGAGGACACGCCCGATCGAAGTCAAGGGCCGCCCCCTGCCCGAGGCGGAGCCGCCGTCGAGCGCCTTGTCGCAGAGCTACTGCGACCTGCACT